AATGCTGTTTGTAACAATACTCGTGGATCTTACACTTGCGCTTGTAAACTTGGATATTCAGGCGATGGCAGAAATTGCACTGGTAAGTTATTTTCACTAACAAGAACTACAAAGTTATCAGTTGAAAACAAGAGCAACAACAACACTGCGAAATGAGTTCAGACGTACTATCATAAAGTTAATACTTACATCAATACGAACAAAAACACCTCACTCAAGAACATATAGAGCACTTTTAGTGAGCATGCACAACGTAATTTATGTTTGTTTACTAACTTTGCCGTGTTCCTTATTCCCCCAGTCATCGATGAGTGCATCAGCGGTGTACACGACTGCCACCGTTTAGCTACATGTACAANTGCACAACGTAATTTATGTTTGTTTACTAACTTTGCCGTGTTCCTTATTCCCCCAGTCATCGATGAGTGCATCAGCGGTGTACACGACTGCCACCGTTTAGCTACATGTACAAACACTGTAGGATCCTACACATGTACGTGTAACCAACCTTACACGGGAGATGGGAAAACTTGCAGGTCATCGGCGCCAGGTGAGTATTTCATGTTAATTTTGCTTCAATTCAGGCTGAAGAAGTTAGAATTAAGCTCAAATTGTCCACCAAACATGATGTCTAAAAAGCAATCAAAAACCTCAGACTTCGTCAAACCCAACAAACTACTTTCTTTTGTAAAACTGTTTTCAAGAAAAGCAATACGCCAAACTAATTAGGGAACCAATTAGAATTCTCCTTTCCATCTTGGATCAGTTTGCCATATTGGAAGGACTTACTGCTGAAAATAAAAAAAAAGGACACGACTCAGTAATGTTGTTTGCTATCTCCTCGCTACTACGGCACGCTTTAACATTAACATTAACAACACTTAGAAAGGACAGGGGTGGGGTGTGGAGCTAAAAGAGCCCACGTGGACTTAAACAATTAAAAACACTTTTCAAAATTTCAATATTTACAAAAGCTGTCAAATTTCGGGACTTTATCTGCCGCTGGTTTTTCCATTGAGAATTCTAACGTCGGCGCGGAGCGTTCGTAATGATATTACGTTTTCCTGATAAATACTATCCGAATATTTTCCTGTTCAGGATTTAAAATCATCTATTAAGAGTATTGATCACTGCGACCCAAAATTTAAAAC